TTTCTGTATCCATTTGTTTTGCTGTCTCTATCGCTGTCTCTGTCTCTATATCTGTCTCTGTTTCTGTTTTTGTTTGTCTCTTTTGTTTTTCGTTTTTGTGTTTTTTTTGTCTGTTTTTGTCTCCGCATTGCAAATTTGTTTTATTTTATTTATTTTTTAAATAATACAAATAAATAGCAACCTGCTGATGTTTGTTTTTTTTTGTTTTTGTTTTTCTTTTCTTTCTTGTTCTTCTTCTCCATACTATAACCATAATAATTATTTTTATTATTCTCCTTTTTTTTTCTTTTTCTTTTTTTTTTGTTTTCTGCAGCTTATATTTGCTGCTTTATCTGTTGCAGTCATTGCATGTGTTGTATTGTATCGTATTGCGTTTCACTTTATTTTATTTTATTTTATTTTACTTTCTTTTATTTTATTTTAATTAATTTATTTTATTTTATTTTATTTTTTATTTTATTTCGTTTTATTTCATTTTATTTTTTTTCAATTTATTTTCCTTTACTCCATGTTATTTCAACATATTATTTTATTTTATTCTATATTATATTATTTTATTTTATTTTATTTTATTTTATTTTATTTTATTTTATTTTATTTTATTTTTTTATTTTATTTATTTTTTATAGGGGTTTGAGTGTGATAGTATCTAACTACCGTGGTTGTTCTTCTTCTGCTGGTTTTGCTTCGATTCCCAACATTCTCCGCGACGGTTTTAATTTGTATAGCTTCGCTGCCTCTCTACCAGGCAAGCATCAACTGTTTCTTTTGTTTCTTTCTTTCTCTTTTTCTTTTTCTCTCTTTCTCTTTTTTTCTTTTTCTTTCTTTTTGGGGGGTTGTCGCTCTGGCTTTCTTTCTCTCTGTCTCTCTCTATGCATCTTTCTTTCTCTATCTCTATATCTTTCTGTTTGTCTCTCTCTCTCTCTCTCCGTCTGTGCCTCTCCTCTCCTCTCCCTTTTCTCTATACGACCCCAACCAGTCCCAACTGTACACAACAGCTGCACCTGCAGCAGCAGCAGCAGCAGCATGAGCAGCAGCATCAGCGCTAGCAGCAGCAGCAGCAGCAGCAGTTTGCTGCTGAGTTGCTTCTGTTTTCTGTGTCTGTAGGCATCCGCCGCATTGCTGTTCACGGCCGCTCTATTGGCGGCCTCCCGGCGACATATGTTGCCTGCCTCTCGCAGCTTGTACAGCAGCAGCAGCAGCAGCAGCAGCAGCAGCAGCAGCAGCAGCAGTTTGCATATGCTGCTGCTGCTGCTGCTGCCGCTGCGGCCCCCCCAGGCTGCTGCTACCCGTCCATGTTCCCACGGGAAACTAGCAGCAGCGGCGGCGGCAGCAGTATGAGCAGCAGCAGCCACTACAAGAGCAGCAGCAGCAGCAGCAGCAGTAGCAGCAGCAGTGGATCTGTGGCTCTGCTGTGTATAGACAGAAGCTTCTCCTCCCTCGAAGCAGCAGCAGCTTCTTTATTTGGATGGTGGGCAGCAGCAGCGGTTCGTGGGGTAACGGCCATATCTGCACTATGCATGCCGGATTGCTGCAGCAGCTGCAGCAGCAGCTGTTGCACCTGCAGCAGCAGCAGCAGCAGCAGCAGCAGCGCCTGCTGCTGTTCGCGCCAACAAGGGGGGATGCTTTTGCAGCATTCGTCTTCCCTGCAGTCTGGGGAGCTGCTGCTGCTGGAGGAGGGCGCTGCTAGCACGACCGGATGCAGCAGCAGCAACAGCAGCAGCAGCAACAGCAGCAGCAGCAGGAGCAACAGCAGAGACAGCAGCACGACGGCTCCAGTTGCACCTGCAGTAGTAGCATTCCCATCACCAGCGCCATCAGAGGCAGCAGCAGATGCAGTTTCATCAGCAACACGAGAAGCAACAGAAGCAGCAGCAACAGCAGCAGCAACAGCAGCAGCAGCAGCAGCAGCAGCAGAGTGCTTAGAACGCGCTTCTACAGCAGCAGCATTTGGAGCTGTTAAGTGCAGCAAAATAGTTGTCTATACACCCCACGATGAAATCATAGAAGACGCAGCCTCCCTGAAGACAGCCGTGGCGCGCCAGACGAGCCCCCTAGCTTTTCAGCTGCTGAGAGAGGAATTGCTGCTGCAGCAGCTGCAGCAGCAGCAGCAGCTGCAGCAGCAGCAGCAGCAAGGCTTTGGTTGCTCTGTTGGTAGGAGCAGCAAGTGGGGTCTAGCAGCAAATATACAGAAAACTTCTGCTGCTGCAGCTGTGTCTCTCGATGCCGCACTACAACTTGTTGTGAGTTTGTTTGTGTTGTTTATAATATTTTTTTCTCTTTTTTTTA